TTTCAGGTGTACATCATTGTACTTCTATTTCTGCATGGACTACATCATGTTCACCACCAAAATACTAATTACAACCCATCACCACACACATGTACCGAATAAACAATCAACACAAATCCATGTATGAATACAAAATGTGGTAAATCTTAGAGGAACAAACTACAAAGTGTTATGTAAGTGTATCAGAACCTGACTTGTTGACAATGTGAGCTGAGATATGAAGGAAGAAAAGGAGCTAGCTGGTATAGAGGTAGGAAAAGAGTAATTCATGCAGAGGAGAAGAGAACAGTTCAGGAACTGAAGGAAGGCCTGCGTGGCCAGATCACAGAGAAGAAGGTAGAAAATGGCACAAGGTGAAGTGGATCAGCTAGCAGGGGCCACATCACTGAGGCGTGTTAAGGATGTGGTCTATCCTGTTAGCGATGAGTAGTCATTGAAGGTTTTTCATCTATAGCATGACGATCAAAATTGATCTTTGAAACAATCACTTTGGCTGCAGCGAATGGAACAGATTGGAAAAGAAGAGTGGATTCAAGAGATGAGTTTGGAGGCAATTGCAGTATTCCAAGTAAGAGACAATGATAAACTTGAAGGGAGAGTTTATGTCTTCGATTTAACAATCCATAAAGTCTGAAGTTATTTGTGTTCTACAAGTGATTTATTTTCACAGGATTGTATGTGTCAGAGCTAAAAGGAAAGCAGAGTGATACAATTGGAGGTATGTGTGTTTTAGAATGAAATACACCTGGCGTAGCACTCTGGTCTGAACTTTTGGCTCCACTACTTGTTATTAGCTAAGGGACCTTATGCAGGGCATTAAGCTCTCTGAGCCCCAGCCTCCACATCTTTTAGTGCACATGATAATACCTCCCACAGTTGGGAAGATTAAGTGTGACAACATGTGTGATATTCTCAGCATGTGGAAGGCCAGTTAATATTGAAGAGCCCCAGGACAGATCAGCTGGTCTCAGCCCCTGTGTTAGAGATCTTTGTCTTCCTTACAAAACCTGCTTGGGTTTTCTTTCTCAGTGGACAGCACTATAATCTACCCAGTTGCACAGGTCAGAAACTCAGGAGGCATCATTCTCCTTCACTCTCTGGGATCATCAAGCTGTAGAAACTCTATTCTCTAAATAGCTCTTCAATTGACGGACTGATTGCTCTTCTTACCCTCTTTCACTATCCTAGTTAAGGTCATCACCCTCTCTAGATTATTCTCTTCTGAGTATCCTGCCTCCGTTTTATTGCCCTCTAGTCTATTCTGTACACCAGCCAAGCAAATCTCACTATCTCCGCTCCTTGGTCACTCTCCTTATGCCAGGAAAACGTCACCCAGTTCCTTAGCCTAACAACACCCTATGTGATCTCCACTCTGCTTACTTCCCAGGCTCACCTCCTGGCACTCCTTCTCCCCACTCTGGTCCAGCAGTTGAAAGGAAGTGCTCCCCATTCAGGACCTGTAACTCTCAGACACATCCTCTTTACCTCCAGACTCAAGCCAATGGATCAACGCAGTTCCTCCTTGCTGGAGCGCTCTCCTTCCAAAGCTCCTCTTCACTGGGTCAACAACTACTCAAAACTGAGGCCTCAGCTCAGCACTTCTGGGAAGCACTTTTCCTCCACCTGATTGTAACCCAGCATGTAGGACAGCCAGTAACATGAATTTCATTATTTGAGTATTTGAGTGAGGCCTAGAGAGTCTGACTGGATTGCCTGTGGTCACATAGGTCTCCTGCCACACGTTGCAGTGTCCCTTTCTCTCCATTGGGCTGACACCTGCCTTATAAATCTCAATTGCGTCAGCTCGCTTCAGCAAGCCTTAGAAACATTCTCTTCATGGGGTTTCAAAATGTTACACATTTATACTGTGGGTTGCGATTTCTGTACCCAAAACAGACCAATGTCACCTCTTCACCAAAGCCTTCCTTGACTCCCCTAAGAAGTGATAGCTATGGGCCGACCCCGTGGCTTACTTGTTAAGTGCGCACTCTCCGCTACTGCAGGCCCGAGTTTGGATCCCGGGCACGCACCGACGCACCACTTCTCTGGCCATGCTGAGGCCGCGTCCCACATACAGCAACTAGCAGGATGTGCAACTATGACATACAACTGTCTACTGGGGCTTTGGGGGGGGGAAAAAAAAAAGAAGTGGTAGCTGTGGCTCCTGTGGCACTCGCAAGTGCTCCTGCAGCGTTTCTCACACTGGCCTCCCTCTCCATGACACTGTGAACTCTTCTGAAACTAGGACCACGCCGGATTCATTTCACATCTCTGGTACCCAAGACTATTCTGGGACAGAGTAGCATTTAATATTTGTTTAACTTAATGGCACTCCAGAAATGAACAGTGTTCACATAAGGGCAACTACAGTGATGGAAGGACTGCCATGAAAAAGAAAAAATGATGCAAGAATAAGACAGACTAAATGATGCTGGCTCTGCCAGGAAGAGATATGGAGTCGGAGAAAAGACACAGAGAGCTCCGGCTAAGATAAAGAATCAAGAAAGTGATAGAAAAGATGGTGCCATTGCTAGAACAGGCTGCCTCTCCCGGTGAGAACCTTCGGTCCCTCAGTGGCCTTCCTGCCTCTTTTTATTCAGGACAGAGAACTGGAGTTGGAGAGGAAGAAGCTCTCACTTTCAGACAGCAGGACAGTTAAGTGGGAAGTTGACTCACAGAGCGCTTTCTATGCCTGCTGAGAAGCCGACAGCCTGCACCAGAGAAGCTGGTTTCACAGGTGTTTCAGGTTCCTGAAATGGCAGAATCAGAGCCAGCCAATTGTAATGGAAATAGAACTGCACTGGGGGCAGAAACCCAAGTGTTAGTCCTGGTCTTGCCTGTGACCTTAGGCAAATCTCTGAGCCTCACTTTCATTCCCCATGAAATAAGAGGTTTGAATGAGATGGTCTCCAAAAGTCCTTTCTCACTCAGGGATTCTGCAATTTGTGGGTCTGGCACTTGGATTTACTTAAAGCAGCGACATAACCAAGGGTGAGATGGTCACTCTGGTTAATGCAGGCGAATGCAGACATCCACACTCATCCTTTCACTCCCGTAACTTCATCTGGACCAGTTGAGGCACATGTACACCCATAACAACATCCCCTCACCCACATACGATAAGCACAGCCAAAAGCTTTATCAATAAAAAGCCGGAGATACAGTGAGGCTGGAAAGCAGTGGTTTGCAAATATCAAAATCACCGCGGCAACTTTTTGAAAACACCAGAGCCTTGCTCCAGATCTGCCAAATCAGAATCTCCAAGGTCAAGCCCTAGGAATATGTATTTTTTACAAAGCTCCCACGTGACTTTGATAATCAGCCAGGTTGGGGATCCCTTTTAAAGAAAAATTAGTGTTTCTCAAAGCGTAGCCTGTAGATCACTTTCATGTGAATTATCTAAGATGCTTGTTAAAAATATCTGGGAATGTGGCCAAGAATCTGCATTTTAACAATTTTTTTACTGATTTTATAAACATCAACTTCATTCACAAAATAGCTTACACATGCTGACAAATGAAATCATTATATGTATAAAACCTCCAGGTCTATGAAACAATAAGGGAGAGAGGGGAAATTCTGATTGCAGTCTAACTTTATTTTATTATTATTTATTATTATTTATATTGTATTGTTTCATCATTTCATTCAGAGTTCAGGTAACTTACCCAAAACCACAAGATTCATAAATGGATGCATTGGAACAGAAAATTAATGCCATATAGCTAAGACACAGCCTATATTGCTTTAGAATGTGTAATTAAGAGTTCAGTACACCTTTTAATTAAACAATTTGCTGAGGTCTTATCTGATGAAGCAAGTTAGAAATATGTCTCAGTTCCTGTTGGTTGGTTTTATTAGCTACTACGCAAATGTTAATGTCATTATGATAACCATAGATTAGCCAAGATAAAATGACTATTACCTACTAAGCAACAATGTTTCAGAGACTTCCTGGAAGCATAAAATGATCTAAGGTAGTCATCATTTCTAGTCAATACCTTCAAACACAAATATTTACAATTGAGAAGCCCAGAACTATGCTGCCCAAGGTCTTACACACCTAGCGAGGAACCCACCCAACCCCAGACCTTAGTTACATGACTCTCCTTCATTAATCTGCTTTACATCATGGGCCCTAGACTCTGTGCTCTTCAACTCAATATGCTGACTATTTGCTTTAGTGCTAGAATAGGACTACAGTAGACTTGAAAGGTCTTTCAAGGAATAAACTGCAAAATGCTATTACTACAGAGACATTTTTTGGACAAAGCTTTTCTTTCCCCTAACTAGTTCTTCTCAATTCATTTAATAAAATATCTGTTTGTGAAAAGATATGCTTGTCTTGATCTCTTGCTAAATTGAAATAGGAAGGATCTCCCAGATTCTCCATTCTTGAGTTGACCAGTTTGGGGTACAGAACAATAATAGACATTTCATAAATATGATGAAACTGAATGGACCTTAGCTATTATGAGACCTAGCTTTGATTTTTCAAAAATTTACTAAAAGTGTTCATGGAAAATGCAAAGTCGTCCAAAGCCGTATAACTTTTAACAGAATACAAATTCTTCCCTTTTCTGTGTTCACATACTACTCTTTTCCTCTTCTTTCCCACTGATATTACAGACTTTCTAAAATACGTGGACAGATATTTTCCCAATGGGGAAAAAGCAATGAAAATGACATCATGAAAGAGAAATTGCCAAAAAATAAACCACATATTCACTAGCTGTAGATAGATTTGGAGAAGGTTTTCTGACTGAGGTTTTGGTTTCTTTGTTTTGTTTTTTGAGGGCTGATTTTTGAGTGTGTTTTACTCTCATTCAAATTTCGCTTGCCAGCTCAGATTGTATAGCTATATCCTGTCAACTGTTTACTGAAGGAGCCATTTCTTCCACAAAATCAATATCTAATTTCCTAAATGAAGAAGAAAAGGATACTTACAAATCTCTGATTAAAATATGCTGTTATTTCTAAGACAGGTTTAGGAAGAAACTCTGATAAACTTTCTTTCCTGCAAATTAAAAAAAAAAAAAAAAACTATGAAGAACTGGAAAAGGTAAAAATCCAGTTAGATTATTAAATTTTACTCATTTTGTCTGCATGTTTTTTTTTTTTAATTGAGTTAAAACCGGTAAATACCATGACTTGCCTGACTATCTTGGGAAAAGCAGAACTTCTAATTCTACAACAAAGTTTTCTATTAAAAGTCAAAACGGCTTCATTTCAAACAACAGGGGTTAGTACCTAGGATTGCCAGCTACAAAATGCAGTAGATAATTACTTCATCAGTGTTATTAGGGATTAACGTCAAGTTGAGAAAGTCATCACCTAAAAACGACTGACCATTACAGCAAACATTTGTAGGCATAGAAAAATGACTGTAAAATAATACTTGGCATGACTATACCTTTGGGAGGTTGTGGAAACATATTGCATTTTTGGAATATGACTGTAGAGAATCTTCTCCATCTTTCTTATGTGCCCTGAGACATTGTACCAGTATTCCCAGCACCCACACAGGGAGCATGTGGAAGAAACCCAACCATCTTGCTTCTGGAAATGAAGATAAACTACATACCTATAATTCCTGTTCACAGAATGGGCCCTGTATCTCAGGGTTTAGCACTTGACAAAGGAAGGGTGAAAAATACTAGGAGTATGAACCATCAGTATTCAGCCACTCAGAGCAATAGGGCACTTTGCAAATTCCCTCCACCACACTCCCACTGCCCTAGTTCAGCCTGCCATTCACTCTTCCTGGACTATCGAAACAATGTCCTAAATTAATTTCTTCTATGCTTTCTTGCTTCCTGCAACTCCGTTCTTTCCACAGAGGTCAGGTGGAATTATTTCAAAGTTAATCTGCTCATGATCATTCTATGATTAATCCTTCACAGCCTTCCCATCACTTACAGGATCAAGTCCAAGCCCTTCAGAGAGTGCACGGTGCCCTCCAGGAGTTGGCCCCAGGCTACCTCTCCTTCATTTTCACCCAAGCCAGACCTGCGACCTGCGCCAATTTTAAAGCTCTGTAGTCACCCCCAGACAATGGCACCCCTGTGCCTTGTTTATATTGCCCCTGTGGCTAAGGTTCTTTGCCCTCAATCCCTGCCCCATCCCCTGGGCTAATATCTATTCATCCATTCAGGGTTAACTTGGGTACCCTTTCCCAGAAGCCTTCTCTTCCCCCTCGGGCTAGGTAGGTTCCCTCTTCCGTGTTCTAAAACACTCCGGCATATCTCTGTTATCGAACTTATCACATACATCACAAATTTCTGATTAGTGTCAGCCTTCCCATCCCCACTTCACCTAAGTTTTTTTAAGCCTTTTGAGGGCATGGACCATGACTCATTCGTCTTGCACAATGTTTTTGCACATGCTAGGAGGAATGTAATAAATATCTGTTGAATGTCAAGGTACATGAGGTGCTTTTCAGACTCAGAGCTGCCTGAATGAATATTTTATCGCCTTGGAAGAACATTAAAATCAAAAGCAGACATCTTTTGACCTCGTTCCTATACCCAGCTTCCCATATGGTTTTGGCTGTTCCTCTCACTCTGTATCTGAGACTGTTTCCCTTCAACTGAGTCCTCTTTGTTCGGGCCAAATATAAGGAACTGAGAAGAGGAAGAGAAAAATAAATGAAAAAAAAAAGATCATATGAGAAGTGGTAATAAAAAAAATTTTAAACTTCAAAGTTTATGTAATATAATGCAAATATGTACCCCTAACACAACAAGATTAGGAAAATATATTTTTGCAGTCCTAATTTTTTCAAACATTTGCATACAGGTCTTGGTAAAGATCTAGTAGAAACTGCAAACAGGAATCCAGTTCAAAGTCAGAGAAAACTAAACATTGCTATTTGTGTCGTTAAAATGCATGTTTTTAAAAAAATATATAATTTCTATACCTTTTCCATAATTAAATTTGTGCTTTCATTTTATGAATTTTCACCTATCTGTCCATTGCAATAGAATCAAAAAACAAAAAATAGAAATAAAAGAGAGTGATATAGTTATTTTTCCCTCTCCACCTCTTTGCAGTTTGTTACATCCAAATATACTTATGCAATGGACTTTGAAAATAATATTCCATACATAATTTTGATTACTCACACACATCAAAATTCAGATTTATGGGGGATATGCTAAACACAAATATGCTAAAGACTAAGACACAGAGAGTCTCTACTCATCCTTTAAGTTATCAATGATCAGAAGCTTTACTAACAAAAGAGAAGTAATTCCTGAAAAGGTTTCAAGAACAGTGGTACACTTAACAAAAAATAGAAAAAAAAAAAATTTGAGCACACATCTCCTATTTATGACTCTTTATTTTTATAAATGATAAGTATTACTATACTGATAGACTAAATCTATACGCTGTATTATAATTATTATATATGTTAAATGCATTAACAGAAATTTAAAATAAAACAAAAATAAATGTAGCTAGGTGTCCTACTCTGTTCTTTCTGAACTTCAATATGGGATGCAGAATTTGCAAGATGTTGCTATCACATGAGGCCTAATTCTCTCTCTGTTATCTCTCTTGGAACTATAATTAAATCTAGAGAAAACCTGGTGATATTTATGACAGCTAAGAGATACCCAAGGCAAAAGAGCCAGTGGTCTCACCCAAGGGTGATGTACACCTTGCAAGGGGAGCAGATCAAGGTGTGGACGGATCAGGAGAAATCAAAACTAGAAACACATGCACACTCAGAATTGTGAATTAGCAGAGATCTTGAAAATCACCTAGTCCAGTGATATTTTTTTTAGCTGAGGAATTTTTTTTTTTTCCCAAATGAACACTGTCCCAACGGGCAAATATGTAAGACAGATACACGCATAACCACTCTGGCTAATGCAGCTTCAGGGTCTGGGGCTCTGCCCACTCTCTCTTCCTCTCTTCCTCCCCTCCAGGGGTGTGGTTTGAAAACTACATGACTACACTGCCATTTTAAACATGGGGCTACCAGGCTGCAGATGAACAACAGCAGCCATTTCACGACAATGTAATAAAGTGGTTAAAATTATTAATCCTGGGCGCTTGTCCATCTTCCCTATTGGTGCCTCTGCCTTGTTTTCATGGACTGGCTTCCCTATATATCCCCAACTGATCTCAGTTATAAATGTAAATACTTAAACTATGATCTGACAGTATTTAAGATAATTGTTAATTCTAGGTTTTGGTAAAATAATGAATACTTATTTTCTCTTCAAAATATACATTTTCTAACTTGAAAGTTTTAATGACTCCAGCAGCTAGCCATGTCAATATGCAAACAATCTGCGTAAAGGAGAAGGACCCAGTGTACCTCAGACACAAGATTTCAGGGGGTCCCCAAAACCTCAGAAATCAAGATAAATAATATTTTAATGCAATATTCTTTACAAATCAAAATTAGTGCAAAAACCTATGATGAGCAAAACTTCAAATTTTAAATAAAGATTTGACCCTGCACTGGTACAACTCAGCCTCATGTACCTCACCCTAGCCCTGGACCTGGTCCAGCGACTTCTCTGGAAGAATGTAGTACAAATATAAAAACGATGTCAGGTTAGTTGTATTATGTAGGTGTCTGCCTCAATAATACCTAGGATTGTAGAAGGAGAAGAAAATGTGGTTGGAGGACAAGTCCAGTCAAGGTGTATTATGTGATATAGACCTTTATACCTCAGTCTGTAGGACTGAGGATGAGGTTAAGTTGATTGGAAAAAAATAAGCAACTAGAAAATATAACATGTGAGGTAATACTTAGTCCAAGCTTGCATTTGAGCTGTTCTACAATTTCAACGAGCTACTAAATCTATTATAGCTGCTTCAATAAGCATTCTTTTCTATTCTTGTTTTTAAAGGCAAATCACAGTTCTAAAATGTATAAACACCTAAAAGTGCAAAATGTCAAGTGAACATCATCTGATTCTTAAAAGCAAATTAATGACTTCAACTTCAAAATCTGGTTTTAAAAGGCTGTTCTTAAGATGCATTTAACCCCTCAAGCATTACAATGGTGAAAACAACCATCAGAAATGAATCATTGTGACATTAAAGACCACGGACATTCACGAGGATGTTTTCTCTCCACAGAACCCAAATGAACTAGCTTGGGAAAACAAGCGACTCCAAGCCTAAGACCTAGTAGGCACTCAACACATATTTACTGGGTACATAAATGAATTAATGAATGAATAAAAGTTGAAAAAAGACTAGAAAGAGATAGAATAGGACCATATTATAAGAGCTGTGAAACAGAGACTTCATGCTGTGGGCTATTAAGCTGAGGTTTAACAAGAAAAAAAAAGTGGCTCTTTAAAAGAAGGAATGGGTGGGGCCGGCCCCGTGGCTTAGCGGTTAAGTGCGCACACTCCGCTACTGGCGGCCCGGGGTTCTGATCCCGGGCGCGCACCGACGCACCGCTTCTCCGGCCATGCTGAGGCTGCGTCCCACATAGAGAAGCTAGAAGGATGTGCAACTATGACATACAACTATCTACTGGGGCTTTGGGGAAGAAAAAAGGAGGAGGATTGGCAATAGATGTTAGCTCAGAGCCGGTCTTCCTCAGCAAAAAGAGGAGGATTAGCACGGATGTTAGCTCAGGGCTGATCTTCCTCACAAAAAAAAAAAGAAAGAAAGAAAGAATGGGTGAATTGATAGTGAGCGAAAGTCAATCCAGCTAGAAGTGAGCTATAAGTCTCTAGAAGTAATCCTGGCGCTGGGCAATAAAGGCCCACCAAAGCGATGTAAAATTGGATGAAGGAAGGTATGGCAGATACGGCTCCCAATAGCTCACCTCCCCTTCTTCTCTAGAAATAGAAAGTTTAGCCAGGTACAAAGACTTGAGCTAAGGACCATATGACCAGGCCTCTTGCAGCTACATATGGCCATGCAAATAGATTTTGTCATTAAAACATGAGCTGTGAGCAAAAGTGATGTATTCCATTTCTAGGTTATACCCCAAAAGAGAGGGGAGTGTGGCCCTTCCCTCCTCTTCTCCCCTTTCTG